AAGAGTGAAACTGCCTGAAACACCAGGTGAATTTCAGATGGTGAGTTTCTGTGAGGGAAACAGAGGCTTGGTTTGTGTGCAGTGGGTTTTTTAGTATCAAAATACTGTCCCCGTGGTTCAGAAGGCCTTATTCTGAAAGGGTCAGGACGTTTCAGTTTGATGTTTCAAAACAAACTTTTTCAGACTTTCATCCTGAAGTGGACTTTTTAAATTTAAAAATGACTGGGGGGGCAGGGGGTTGAGACTTAAGTGGCCCCCTAAAGAAAGCGAGGTTTTGTTTTGCCTTCTTCAAATCGTGCGTCATCCAACTTCTCAGGTTTTTGGACTCCGTTTGTTTGAAAGGCCCACCCCTATTTTGCTCTAGCTTACCTTCCTTAGAAACTGTTTTCTGTTTCATTTTGTTGCATAGTGCTGGGTGTGCCATCTCTTGCAGTCCTGGAAGAGCTGGGGTTTCTGAGGGGATTACAGAACAGATCGTGAACCATGATTTCATTCGGCAAAGCCTTACTTGTGTACCTAGCTGTGGACACAGCTGACCGTGATGGGGCTCTTCTGTGCCTGGAGCTCACAAGTGAAGCCTTAGTGGGACCATGGTCCATGTCAGGGACCAGAGCAAAGTTACAACTGTGTGGTAATAGGAACAGGAAGGAAAAGGCAATGAAACAACTACATGCTGTTTAAAAAAAGTCTACAGGCAGTTTGAGAGTCAGGAAGAAGTCATTATCAACATCCATGTCAATATCCACTGTAATGCAGCTGGGTATTGGGGGTGGTTCTGACAATCCCGTATTTTTCATGAGCAATCTTCTCTCAGTAATGGGTGCACTGTGTATATTCTCTAAATGCTTTTTGTTCTTGTAACTGCTTTTGTTACAAAGCAATTCACCTTGTAGCAGTTCTGGTTTTAAGTGTGTGCGGTTTTACACATGTGTAAGCTTCTATATTTTATAACAAGTCTTTTTATTTTTTTCTCTTAGTCTTAGATAAGTTATGGCTTCACAAGAGGAAAAACAAACTCAGCCCTTTACAGACATCTTTGATGAAGATGAAGCTGAAAAATCCTTTCTGTTGTCCAAGCCCACTTGCCTAATTGTCCTTGGAAAGCCAGTAAGATGTCTGATAGAAATTTTTTCTTCAGATATTCTGCCAACAATTTTACTTGTCCTTTCAAAATATTAGTTTAGTGACACTGCCAGAAAGATCAAAGACCTACTTTTTTATCTTTTCCACTTTGCAAAATCCTACAGAGTGTGGTAAAGATTCTGATTTCCTTTAACTTTTGGCCTGAGTGACCAGTCAGTTACATTTAGAAGTGTTATTACTGTAATTAAAAGCCACATGTTGCTCAAAAATTTCTTCTCTTTTCACATTAGGATCTGTATTGGTTTTATGTTATTTCAGTATTCTAACTGTAAAAAAACTTGACAGATTGAAGACATAAATAAGCATAAAAGAACCGTCAGATTAATGTACTGACTTACAGACATGCAATGAGATATTAAGTGTTTAAATGAACTTTGATGTAATTATGTGTCATATATTTGGGAATAACTCAAAATCCACCAAGGTGTCTGATGAGGAGATTTGTACTATGTTTTAACTATAATTCAAGGTCTCTCTTTCTCAAATAATTTGTATCCTCCTTCACTTAGAAAAAAAATGATGTTTTGTAATCAGAGACTTCTCTGATGTCTTTTTCCCAAATGCAAGACACTCTATGGGTGGTTTTACATTAGTGCATTAGTTTGCTGAAGGGGGTTCTTTTTTGGTGCAAGTTTGCCTTATGTCTCTACTGAATCTAACATGTACTTAAACACACTACTGGTGCCCTGAAAGCTGCTTTCCTCTTAAACATTGCAGTTGCCCATAAAAGGTGCCTTCAGAGCACCCCACTTCCCATGTGAACATAAGGTCCTCCAGCAGCTTGCCCTCTGCATTTCTGTGTGATTCAGTTAGGTTCCACAACAGAGCCTGAAATGGCTGTATGGAAGTCTGCTTCAGACTGCCTAGCAGGTAGAGAACTGGCAATCAACCCAAACTTCAGTGCCAGTTTACCCAGCAAATCAAGCTCCAGTCCCTCTCTGCACCACACCACATACTAATATAGAGCAATCCTATGTGGTGCAGTATGCCGGCATGTAGTCACGTGATGGTGGCAGATTATATCATGGGAAATGGCCATAGTGCTAAGGTATGACTACATTTCCTTTGTTTAAAGACTTTCAGCAGGCTGGAAGGCTCCCAGTCCCTAGTGCTTGCACAGGTCTGTATCTTCTCTTACTCCTTGTCTCCAGTTGCTGGGTAATGCTTGACTGCAAATCTTTGTATCTGACCAAATTTAGAAAGGAGGCAGGGTGGTGTTCTGCAAGTGGGTGAGAGGCAAACATCATGGTGAGACTGTATGAGGTGATAGCCAACAAACGTGCCTTATGGTCAGCATGAGACTTGAAAGAGTGCATTCAGCCCAGTAGAAAACTGCAGTGGACTGGCTCATTTAATTTTAAACACATGCCAAATTTCTAACCTTACATGAAAAAGAAAAAAAAACCTTACATTTTTTATAGTCCAAACCAGCATAAAATACTCATGAAAGACAATGCAAAAAACATATAAGAAATTAATATTCTTATCTGAAATAATTGCCTTCAGTAGCTGTTTGATATTAATACAAATCTTAACAAAGGGTTGAAATTGCACAGGCCTGGCCAAGAGGGCAGGGGATTATATATTTTATTTTTATTGTAATGTCTTTTATTTAAATAGCTGATGTGTAGAGCATCTATCTTAAATAAGACATATCTTTTAAGTTAAAAACACAGTGCCGTTAAAGCAAAACTAAATACATATATTCTTATCACTCTTGTAAGGTGTGAGTTGGCTGGAGTGTTTGCTGATACACTGTTAAATGGGAATGTGATTTATTTCTGGGTTTTTTACTATTTTTTAATCACAACATTTATCTAGGGCAAACAGACTGTCCAAAAACGTCTTCTGGTATGCCCTTGAAAAAAGGGTATAATCCTAAGGGTGGAAGATGGTGAGTTTTGCAAAATCCCATTCGAGTAGCTGTACTCTTAGAGGTCTCATTACTCATGGTTATGTTGGTTCCTCAGGATTAATGTAAGTGATAAGATATTTTGTCAGTGTCTATACCAGATTTGTGGACTAACAAGGGCAGTTTTTATGTATTCATTGTTTTACTCACATAATACTATCCCTACTTATCTTACTTGGAAACAGCTTAACAGATATGCGTCATAATTTGCTTTGAGACTGAAGATAATAAATTTCAGTCCTAAAGAGTTTCTCATAAGAATTTACAGGCAAATCATAGCTGAATTTTAGATAGAGTTACTCAGAAACAAAGTCGGTGTAATTACTTTGGAAGTAATTAACTACAAAGGACAGTAACAGTATATTAGCAATGCTAGGCAGTATGAAATAGAGGATGGTATTAAAAAGAGTGTGTGTGTTTGCCTGGTGTGCAACTCAGAGGCCCTGATCCTGATGGTAGCTTTTATTGGTTTTTATCATATGAAATATGTATCTTTATTGTGTAATATGTTTGGGGGTTTTTTTTCTTCTGCCTGTTTTTATTTTAAATGTGTATTTTTAATTTAAGGGTTGTGGAAAGAAAACATTAGCTAAGAAACTAGCACAAATATGGAAATGCATTTTCATAGAAGGTAAATATACACTATATTTGGAACATTGCATTGGCTTCTTAATATCTTTTGTTTAGAATACCCTCGCTGTTCCCTGTAATTCAAAACGACATGTTCCCAGTTTGCAGTAAAGACTACTGATACGGACAAAGTAACCATTTTACCAGAAATGCAACAGCTGAAAAATGGCCTTTTAGTTATAGAGAGGCTTAGACAATCACCTTGTTTTTGTTTTTTTTTTTTTTTCTTTTGCAGAAGGGGTATACATAACACATAATAATCAAGTTCTACTCCTAATCCTGTATGGTGATTCATGTGACCCTTCTTGTTCACATGGAGGCAACTCATTCAGCTCTAGAAACCACAGACCACAGAGATTTTCCATTACAGACCATGAAAAAAATAGGAGGCTCCTTTCTTTCTGTTTTGTAGTGCCTAATACAGGGGGGAATGTACTCCAGGAGACAGAAACATAGCTTTTGTATCAGTATAAGTAATCATGGAAGGAATGGGAGCTGGCACTTTCAGATTTCTAGAACAAAAATATCTGATGGCTTATTTCAGAAGATGTAGTTAATTTCTCCCAGCATGCATTTACCAGAATACAAGATATCATTTCATTTTCTAAACTATCCAGCTCCATTTCTGACAGTCCCTCTCATCAAAGATTTTTGAAGATCTTTAGAGTAAAACCTGTTGCTTAAAACATCTTATTCCCCATCAACACATCGCTAGATTTTTTTTTTTTTTCATTTCAAGGCATCTCAGCAAGAAAATAGGCTCCTGGGAAAAATAATTAAGTCTCTGGCAGTTTTCTTTTATACTACATTTGTCAGCAGTAACTAAAAAAAAATTAAAATCTGTAATTTTTTTGAAGCCCTGGTAATATTTTTGTAACAATGACATTATAATTCACAAATCTTGATTCATTCACTATTTTTTGTGAAAAAAGAAAACTTTTCCACCAGATTTGCCTTATCAGTTTGAAGGCTAATATAATCTTTTCAAGTAGAAGAAAAGAAAGCACATAATGGCCTTAACTATGAAGGAATTTTTGAGTGCCTCTTTGGGGACACCAAATTATAAATCTAATTTAATGGTACATATGTGTAAAGTTATTCTGATTATGAATGAACTCTTTATATATTGATTTTCATGACATATTTTCTTTTAAACATGCCCCCTAGTATTTTTTTTGTTCTAATAAAGGCCCTCTAGTGGACAGTGGAACACTTCATATTGCTGTGAATACACAGGCTTATTTATCAAATCACATATCTTTATCTTATTTTGAAGATTTTGAATTATAGTATGGTAAAATTAAGTTTTAATAAAGTGCTTTTTTTACTTATCTAAATATAGAATTTTTAATTCTTTGTCTTACCAGAAAATGAACACCTGGTCCAAAACATACATCAGATCAAAATTGGAAGGGACCTTAGGAATGTACTTAAGCCAGTCTACACTATTTGAATGTATTTAAACCATTACTAACATCTACCAAATTGTTTTTAAAAATCTCTAGGCAGTCTCTCTCTGTAACACAGTCTTTGCTATTAATAAGTTTTTCTTAAATATAAATCTCACTTATTGCATTTTTATCCTTTATTTCTAGTAGATTCAATTATTCTTTTCTTCTGTTGCTCATGATATTTCTTTTAATCTTCTTTTGTCTAATGTACCCACACGTGTACATACACACATTCCCTCAAATTTTGCTAATAGTTTTTTTCATTTTTCACATAAAAAAAAGTAAGAAAGAAGGAAATTCAGTGTACAGAAACATGAATAATGTAGCTCAGAAAGGACCTCCAGAGGTCATTGAGTCCAACCTTCCACTCAAAGCAGGGTCTGATTTTAGTTGTCTTTGTTGTTTGTTAATACGTTCCCTGCCTCAGTTTGGACCCATGGCAAATAATGCTCTTCTGAACACACCCATTCTTAGTATGAAGGATAGTATGCATGACAGTCATCACTACCAGTAGGAGCAGTTTGAAGACAGCCACTATGTTCTGGGGAGAAGGATTTTAGCTGTATAGGTAAGAGCTACCTAGTTTCAGGACTGCTCCTTGGCCTGGTTTATTAATAATATAGATGTAGCCTTAAGGGTCATTCTTGAAAACTGTCATGAGTGTATGCTTATTTCAATGGTATAGAACAGTGAAAGACTTCGAGGATCATTCTGCTATGATGTCACTGTCCACAGAGACAGAGGGCATGCCTTTGAATTTGATGGGTGTCAAATTTAGTATGTATTTACTTTTAGATAATTAGACTATGTAAGGAGTAGGTTTTCAAGGGCTTTTTTAAAAGCCCTTAAGACACACAACTGTTTTTTGTGTGTCTAAACAGTTCTTCTTCTAAAACTTGCTTTTAAAATTTGGGAAGTGTTTGAGGTCCAATACTCATCTCTGGATTACACAGCAGTAATGCTAATTGGATATAAATCTCTAGTTAAAATAATCCTGCAAGGCTGCTGTTGTGCATTTGTCTGTAATGTATATGGGGCTAAATTGTAAGGGAAAACATCTACCCAGACATTGCCAGAAGGCACGAAGTTCTGGATGGACAAATTATAATAATGGCCCTAAATGTAATGTCTATTCATTCAAAATGTTGCTTGGAGCACACATACATACTTGTATGTGTTTGTGTGAATGTATGCATCTCTGCATCTAGATGATGCACACATTCACAAATATTCTAGATGAATATTTGATATATCAAATACTTTTTAATAATTATTTTAATTTTCTTCTGTCTGACGTGCTTTCTCAGCTTTGGAAGTAATTCAAACGAATATTAATGAAGAAACAGAATTTGGGCTTAAGGTAAACATCTAATCTTCTAGTAAGTCTTGACACATTCTTGACAAATACATATTATGTAAGATTATGTTTTGCATTTTACTTTAGTGTCAAGAATTACTTTTTAAAGGTCAAAATATTCCTGAAGAGCTGGTTACAGAAATGATTCTGAAAAAGATTGAGTCACCGGAAGTTGCTCATTTTGGTAAGTATATTTATATCCTAAACTTTTTAGAATTAGCTAGCTATAATTTTTACACACTTTGCATGCAGAACTGCTCAAATATAATATATTTTGTATCAGACAGTAGCATCTTTTCTTGTGCTCCTCAGGTTGTGGAATATCCATAAACTGAGAGTGTATTTAAGGATTAATTCACCAATACGGAAGATCAGACAGTGTCATACCAATCCTATGTTGTGTTCATTTTGAGAAAATGAATTTGCCCCAAATTTTACGTGTTGCTGTGACTCTCATTCGAGAATATTATCTGGTTAGAAAATTTTTAGGATTTAAAACACAGATTTTTTTTTTTGCTTGAATAATTTTATAACAACAACAAAAATACCACCAGCAAAAAATATTTTAAACGTCTAAAATAATAAAAAAGAAGGAAAACAGATTATTTAAAATGCAAAGTATTTTTTTTCTTACAACATTTATTCCCTTTGCTTTTCATTACTGAGAGTAAATTAGATGAGAATAGTGTTGGTAGTGGTAATAATTATTCTTTTTGAGGAAAGTTTATGCTTAATGCTGTTAAGACTAGTGCTGCAGATCTTGCTAGAGACTGAACCTGCGTTCTTGAAGAGAAAACAAATATACTGCTAAGTGGAAAGAAAGTAAAAGAAAACATAATTTCTCCTTCTGGTGCTGACTTTTATTGGATATTTCCATTATAGGAGAGAGAGAGGTTTAATACCAAGAAAATATTAAGTTTCTACTGCTCTGAAAACTAGCATGCTTCTATAAGCTTTCAGTTGCAATGGTTTTTGTTCCTTCTCTACTCCAAGACTCAATAGTTTTGCAAAGGATGCAGCCTTACCTGTTGAAACCAGGCATTTAAAACAGTAGGCAGAAGACAGAGAAATATGTAAGAAATAAAAGGAGAAGATGAGGAAAAAAAAAATTGAAGGAAGAAGTAGCAGCAAAAAATGCCAGTCTCTTAATCTGTATGTCAGGACTTTAATAAAAGCCTGAAGAGATGTCTGTGTTATCTGAGTTCCCCCCTTTGAGTCAGTCTGATGATGAATGACTACAATGTGTGTACCACAGAGATCCTAGAGACTGTAAACATGACTATAACGTTGATAAAATTTTGGTTCTTGTAGCCAAACCATCTTCTGTATTACAGATGCCCAAAAGTAGCAAGGAATAAAATAACTTACATCCTCACTATTTTTCCTACCAACTAGGACTTATCTCCAGAACCAATTTTTGTTAACTGTTTTCTAGTTATAATCACTTTTTGTTTAGCAACTGTCTTAATATAATCCTTGGAAAGCTTAAGTAGGCTTTTAGTGTTGTATGAAAGGCTGAGTTTTTTACATTTTTACTTTTGCTTTTAACATTGTAAAATACAAGTTTCTAAACAGTACACACAATAAGAGATTCTTTTCAATTGTATTCTTCTGACTTAAATAATAAACACATTATGTTGGAGACTGATGTATAAGAGGTATTCAGATTTGCTAAAACAAATTATAATATTTAAAAACTGTAAGTCACTAAAAACAGGTTTGTTTTGTTTTGTTTTGTTTTGTTTTTTGCTTCTGAAGGAGGTCAGATATGAAGCTTCTAAGCTATTTCTTGAAATAAGCAGTATCTCTTTTTTGATTAACATAGGCCTAGAAGGATTGGAAAATAGCAAGCATACCTGTATGTTAGGATATTGTAGGCAAAGAAATACAGAATTATAACCTCTATGTGGCTGATATGCTTGTTTGGTTTTTTTTTCTTTAATTGGACAAGAAAACACCCAGAAGTGTGTATCATGTTAACCTAAAAAATATTTGCAAAGGAAAAGTCTATGTCATTATCACAGGGGAAAATTGCTCAATTAGCATGATTTAAATCAAATTGGGACCAAAGTAGTTTATTGATTTATTAATGGCAAGTAGTTAACTGGCAATCAGTAACTGGCAGTCAGTGAAGAGGTTCAGTGTCTGCCACACAACAAAGAAACCACAACTCTAGGCACTTGCCAAATATTAATAAACACTACAAATTTCTCAACATCTCCTTAAAACTAATTCCGATGAGTATACGCAAACTTGCATGGTTATGCATGCAAATCCTCCTCTCAAAGATGGGTGTAGGTTACAAGCACACATTCCTTTTCCTGAGAATGCATGTTCACCTGTTTAAGCACACTTTCTGTTGGAAATGTGAGTGCTCTAGCTTTGTCAGTATGTGCCAATCCTACAATCCACACACCAGTGAGAAGGCTGGACACAAGGTCCTATACGCACGCTGGAGGCGTGGGTCACTCCTTGTTTAACCCTGTTCTGTCAGTCCAGAAGTTGAAATGCAGGTTATGCGCAGTATCCAACAGGGATGCTGCTCTGTCAGCCTAGACAGAAGGCTGTGATGCTGGCACATCAAACATGATTTGGCTACTGTTCTTTTACCTTGTTGTCCCTCTAACGTGTCTTTCCCCAGTCACAAATGTTAATACTTCTTTAATATTTCTTTTCCAAATTACTCCTTCTCTTCTCAAAAGTTTCTTGGTAATGCCCTGGTTACTACTTGATCTGGTTGATAGTTGTCTTGTGTCATCATTGTTAGTCTCCCCGCATTATGGTTTTGGGGGCAAACACCCTTTCAGACAACAAACAGTTTGGGATGATCTTTTCCCATGTTACACTCCCATTCCTCTCACATCAGCTGTTGTTATCCAGGATGTGTTTATAAGCAGAGGCTGTGCAGACTCCCCACATCTCACTACCAGTTAGAATTCTCTGAAGATACCAACAGCTTAGAATCCAGGATTTTCATTTCCTAGAGGAATGACTATTATGGTCCCTCTTGCTTATCCTCTTCTATAATTTTTTTATCTATGCATAGTAGCTCCCCAAAGAAGGAGTCATCTTCAGTCCCAGTACCTCTTGCAAAGACTGCTGCTGTGTTTTTATGCTGCATAGACTTGCATTTAAATGTTATCACCATTTCTCTAAGGGAATATTCTCATTTTAAGGCTAAACAAGTCCACCTGATTCTTGTTTAGTCTCTCATTCTGGCCTCATGAATATTGAGTTCCTTGCTGTACAGTAGTTCTTACTGCACTGCATGCAGCCATTAGTAGTTACAGTACTTTCCTAGGAACTTGAAGCCACGAGTTCATCTGTGTGTCTGAGCACTCTAATACTAGGAAAAGGGTATTATTACCACTGTGCTTGTCATATATGGTCAGTGTCTGTTTGCCAAAGAGGACTCAGCATTGTGACTCCTGAGTGAATGGATGCTTACCAAGTTGGGTGCCTCAGTGTGCATCCCGTGTGCATAGAGCCTCCTTTTGGGAGGATTTCACATGCAGGAGCACTATGTACCCCAGAGAGGAGTTCGGGCTCCCTTTATTCTCCATAGAAACAAAGACCTTTAAAGGGTGTATAAAAAGCCTAGACTCCTAGTTTAAATGCCTTGTATCATCAAGTGAATACTTTTTGCAGTGCCTTTTAGAAAATATTTTAGTGGCAAAAATGGTCACTAAAAACTTGTTACTTTTTAAGTACCACATGTCTGAGCTAGGCACATGAAGCAGATGGTCTGAATATGATCTTTAATGTCTACATATTTCCTATATTTCTTAACTGAGTTAACAGACTTCAAGAGTCCCATATCAAGTTGAAAACAACACACTTTTTTGTCTGTATTTCATCTGAAGTAGACGTGGATGCACAGTTTTTTTTAATAGTATTATGTCATGTACACGGTTTAAAATTGTGCCACTAAGTAGATGTATTATTTAAAGGAGATAACTAGTTCTATATTTGACATAACCTTCTAAAAGATATATTTAATAAAATGTATTTGGCAGGTTATGTTCTCAGTGGATTTCCTTCACTCTCAGAGGAATACATGACGGTTTCACAACAAATAGAGAAAATAAAAAATCTAAAATTGAAACCGGATATCCTGATTAACATTAAGGTAATGACATCTTCAGTAACTTGCTAGTCATTTTCCTAATTATTGGTAGACTCAAATGCTTAATAAGTCAAAGGATAATATTTTCCCCTGTGCATTTGAGTACAGTATTTTTTGAGGAATAATAATTTGTTCTCTTTTATATTGGAACAGAATTACACTAGTTTGTTCCATTATAGGCATTGCTTATATAAAATAATGAACATTTCCTAAAACTTCAGTAGGAGTTACAGTCTTTGCACCTCTACCAATTAGAAGATAGAGGCTTTCAAGAAAACTTTAAATAACATGATTATTGTGTGATTTTGGATACATGTACATCTGCCATTCATGTATTTCAGGAAGAAACTTTTCACATATGGAAGTTAGAAAGCAAATTGTTTTATTTTTATACTCACTAATGGTGAAACTGCTTCTTAGTCATTATTAATTTACAAATCTCAATTTCTTCATGAGCAGTGATATGGGATACCAGATACTTTACGAAAGTGACTCTAATATAACCAGACTCTTCAGACATCAGGCCAACTGGTTTGGCAGAAGACAGCTAACCTGTCTTGTTAGTCAGAATGCAATGGCAATGGCCAAACTGCTGGCTGCAAAAGGCTCTAGGCCTCATTCTCCAGCTTGTGCCCAGCATAATGAAAAATTGTGAATGCCTACTTCAAACTCCTTTTTATGCTCATGGAAAGATCTTAAAACATGAGACAAACATATTTTTGTGCTGCTTTTCAAGCAGTTTTTGTTTTTTCAGCTACAGAAAGTTAATTTTGTTTTAATACCTGATAATGAGAAATCACAGTTCTTGAGAATATATGTTGTATAGTTTTATATGCAACAGTACAAATAGAAGAGTGATACTAACTACACTAGAAAGAAAACAGAATTCTTGATTTCATGCCGTTACATCATCATCTCCTCTGGGAAGAAGACTGAGACTAAATGCTCATTAAAATCCTTGCCCCAAAGTCAGATGAATAATTTTGGCTTTGATTTCAGTGGTTCAAGCTGTTTTCACAGATGTGTCAGAATTGTAAACATTTTCATAATATCAAAAAGAAAGGAAGAAGGGAGATTCTAGATAACTCTGGGAATAATGAAGTACTGTTATTAGCAGACCAATTTAAAGAAATTTTGTCTCTCGAAGAAAAAGGACAGAAAATGCACCTTTGAAACAAGAACCATATCTAAACAAATTTCTCCTCCCTATTTCTAAATGTGCTGTTATACAGCAGTCATGTCAGCTGTATGACTCACCATAGAAATACCTTCAAGTATTGTGATACTTCAAGGGATACCTCAGGAAACGAGTGTACTGTGCTTATTGCTAGCAGTATGATCCCAAAATGAGTGTAGTGTGCCTGTTGCTAGCAATGATATCTCAAAAGCTCTGTATTTTCTGTAGAAATCAATTCTCCATTTCTGTAACAGTTTGACATGAACAACTACAATACTTTCTTCTTACCTCAGGTTTTTCTTATATGGTTGAAGGGCAGGTGTTAGTGAAGTTAGAAAGGAAGAATGATTGTTTACTTTTTTAATTATTATTTACTTCTGAATGATTATTTACTTTTGCCCCACCCCCAACTCTGTAGTAGAATTTTAAGATACCCATCTTAAGACCTGTTGGAGATCTGGGGACTCCAAGTGTGTATTAATGCAAGTGCAATTTAGGACAGGTCAGATACAAGCTTTATTAGCTGTGATCATAGTAAGCAAACATTCAGACAGTGTCTTCCCCTTTGCTGCCCTGTTCTCTGCTAAGTGACTGCAGAGACCCAACCAGTTGCTTCTTTCAAAAAAAAAAAAAAGAAAAAAAGAAAGAAGGAGGTGAGGAAAAGCAATCCTTTCAATGTTAACAAAGTCAAGTATCCATCCCTGGAATGGCTGGACTCCTTAACTAGCTGGCTAACAGCCACAGTTATAAGAAGGAATCAAACAGAACATAATGTGACAACGTAGAAAGAAGGCTCTCAGAGCCTGTAGGAGTGGCACACCCAGTAATATCTTAGCTTGGAAGAGGGGAGGTGGAAACAGTCACAGACTGTTAGCTTTTAGTTGAAAGGAATGGTTTAGTTAGGGTAATGTTTTAGTTAAGATGTTTAGTTAGGAATCTTTTAGTTAGAATAAACTTCTTAGGCGGACCTCTCAGATCTTAAATATTAATAATTTTACCACTACAGACCACATCCAGATTTATCTGTGTTTAATGTTAAACTATATTCATGTCTGTAGGGCTTTTTAGGGAAAGTCTGTTGCTTACTCTCACAGAGCTCCAAACTGCTGAATTCCTTTCGCCTCTGACACAATGGCACTATGCTTTTGGGTAATAGTAGAGCTCTGAAAGGTCGGGGCATGTGGTAAAACTGATTTAATCTTGCTCAAGTCCAAGCCACTTTGGCATTAATTGCAAGAGCAATCACAAGCCTGTCTGCAGAATACTTTTATCCATAAACTACACCTACACTTGTTATACTACAAGGTATAATTTGCATAGTAAAATGTGCTCAAGTAGTGGCTACACTCCTGATATGGAATGTAACTTGCTGATGAGAAAAAACTATGCAAGAGTTTAAGTCTTTCTTTAATATTTGCTGCTTTTGAAAATTTTGTGTTTACTCAGAATGTTATTGGAGTAGTTTATTAATCCAAGTATTTGCCATACTGACTCCTACCCCCTATTCTGCAGTTTCAGGAAAAACAATATTGTTATAGGAGTACGATAAACACACAATTTCCTTTTAATTATTCCTTGCTAGTGTTCGGATTATGACTTATGCCAAAGAATATCAGGACAAAGGCAACACCCTGATTCAGGGCAGGTATATCAGAGGAACCAGTGGGATCCTGATGTTATTAAAAAACATAAGAAAGAGAAAGATAAGCATGAAGAAAAGAATGAAGAAGAAGAAGAAGAAGAGCAGGAAGAAGAGGTAAATATTGCTAATTTCTAAACAGTGCAAAGTAATGTAGTGCACTCTAGACAAAGTAGAAAAAATTCCAATATTCTAAAATATCACGATACTACTTCATAAATTAATTTTGCTCAACTTCAATCTTAATTCAGTTTCTGTTCTGCTTTAAGAAATGTGCGGTAATACTTAAATGGTAGGTTTAAATGACAGCAAATGGTGAATATTGTGTAGCTTAACCTGGATTCAGTCTCTAACTCAGAAGTCACTGAACTGTTTCTTGCCATAAGTTAAAAGGGTGTATCAGGAGAATGCTGACTCTATACTGTCTGTTTCTTGGTCTAAGCAAGTAAGAGAGTTCTTAATTTTTGTATATTGTAGCAAGTTTTACTAGTATTTGCAGGACAATAGCTTGCTTTTTGGTTTTGGTGTTAGACTGCTACAAATAGATTTTCCTTTTTTTCATTAAGGTATAAACTTTGAATTCAGGTTGAATTGTTCTGGTTTATAATGCTGGCCAGAGACTTATCAATGCAACTTATAGGCATATTCCTGTCCTTTTGCAGAAAGTACTCTTCATCAGGGTAGGATCACAGTCAGCAATCACTGGACTAATACTCATTGCAATACTCTGGAAAGCTACTTTATTTCCCTTTGAGTAAAGACAAAAATTAATTTAGCACATTATTTCTGTATCTTGAAATATTTAACTTTTCATTCTGCAGACTGCAGAAGATCCACTTAAGATGTCAGAATTTTTGAATCAGTTAGTGCAGAGGCCTGAAGATATTATTGAAAATGCAGAGGAAAGAATTGGAACATATAAGGACATAATGCTACGTCCTATAGAAGTAAGAAAAAGCAAAATAATTTGATTATGCATAACAAAAGATTTTTTAAAATATCTTGCACTGTTTTCTTTTTTTTGTTGTTTGAGATTTATTGTATGGAGGTAGGTACAAGACATGCTACAACATATCCCCAAGCTCTGAAATTCATACTGAAATCAATGATACAAAGTTGTCATCTGTAGGGGTTATTTCTACTCTGGAGTCAGGATACAGTAATCCACTTTGAGTTCTAAAAGTTAAATCATAGCTGCCACCATGGATGCTTCCTAAATCTGGGAAGTGAAGTACCTGAAGAGCCCAGTATCATTACCATTACCAAACTCCATTCTGGCATGCAATCCTATAAGAAATGTGCTCTTTGCATCCATTACGTTCCAGGCCAGTAGGTTCCCTTCCTCACCTGCTTTGTTCTTTGTTGCCTGCATATTTACACATGCAATAATTAGTCCATCAGTTTGCTTTATCACCTGTTTGATTTCTGCAGCTGTGACATTGTTTTTTTTCTTTCCTTCTTGTGTTCACAGAAGTTGGATTTACTATGTAGCTTTTTTTTTTTTTTCAAAAAAAAAAAAAAAAACAAAAAACAAACAGAACAGGTCCAGGGCAATAATTCATTCTTTTATTTCTTTTTTTTTTTTTTTTTTAATTTTTATTTTCCTGGTACAAGCAACTGCAAAAGCCTCATGTTTGCTGCACACTTGACAATTACTGTTTATTTATGTCCTTCAAT